AGTTGCTTTTTTTCTTTCATAGCCTCTCCATAGAAAATGCAAGTGGCACAAAATGAGCTGGCTCCTGACCCTGTCATTTAAAACTACGCGTCAGAACCCACCACGAATGCTTCAGAGCAAAGATGTGCCAGAACAGGGCTCGTGTTCCGCTCTGTAGTGCTCCGAGGCCTCGTTATCCCTATGGCAACTGCTAATCATTCATTTGTAGTAGCACGATAAGTACGTGCCCTAAACTAGAAAGCAGGTTATAAATCACTGGAGCACACTTGGAAGTAGGCGCTGTCTATCCCTGAAGGTACGTGTACAGTGGAGAGAGTAAGCACATGCTAATGTGTGTGAATGCATATGCGTGCATGTACGTACCCACACGCACAAGCCAACCAGCACCTCTGAGCTGTAAAATAAAGCACTGCTTCAATTCATAGTCCAACTCGCCTCATCTCTTTTGTTTTTTAATAACTGTAAACACTTGGAGCAAAATACTGTAAAAGGAAGACACTCAGCAGCCTCAGATGAGTGCAACCAGAAGCACCAGTTACCCTGGGCTACCGTCAAGTTGAGACAGGGCCACTGAGTTTGGAACGTGGACATTGTGCAATAAGAACTGGCCTGAGCCCATCATTTTCAACAGTCTGCTGAGCAGCGATCACCTTTTGTCAATATAATTTAGTTGTGGGGTTAAACGGGATAGTCTTAGAAGGCTGTAGAGCACAATACCCCAAGTCATCCACTCAAACTTCTTGTCACATTTTACTACCAGTATCACTACCTAGTAGTGTTACGTCTCAGCTCTGTGTTCTCGGGCAACCCTGGCACAGGATGCAGCCTGTCTGACTCACAAAGGACTCACCCCCCGTACATAAAACTGATTAAGATGCAGTGAGAGACACACCTAAGCCCCTCCAGATAAGGGTGGCCAGAGTGAAACAACTGCCCTAGGTCTCATTTGCATCCGAGATGGAACCAGATGACCATCATTTGCATGAGAGATGGAGAACAGAAAGCCTGAAGCAGAGACTGCAGTGAATTCTGGGACCAGAGAAGCAGGGGAGCACTGCATGATGGGGAATCTGTGCTCCAAATGCTAATCAACCCATGTTCTCACACACCCAGCTCAGCATTTATCAGACCAGTTCTAATCTGGATTTACAAAGGGCTTTCCCCCGCCACCCCCCCC